ATGTTGCAGGTGGCCGAAGTTTTGTTGGGCTTGCATTGTAGTTCAACTTCTCTCTGCCCAATTCTGTTCCCCTGTCCTCCTCACCACAGGAAAGTGTTTCTAATAAACACCCAGCATCCCAGACTCCTCTTCAGTTCGATTCCAGAGAGCTCAACCTGTGCCCCCCTCAGCATAGCAATGCTTTTGGAGTTGGCTTACACATTTCCTCCTGCCACACACTACTCATCAGCCTCCCGTTGCACATCGCCCTCCCTGGGGAGTGCCAGGCAACCTTTTTGCACCCAGAGTTTAATAGGTGATGTCCTGCAATTCTGCTCGGGAATCTATCCACAGCATAACAGCCTTACCTGGGTCCCCTCTCTCTCTAAGAGGACCTCCCTTCCCAACCTCACACTGGCTTCGTGGAATGTAAGCAGCTGGGGAGAGTAGGAATCTCTGTATTCAGAACAGAATGGAACAGTGGCAGATGTTTCCATAGGCCAACTGCAGGAGAAAACAAATTTAGCTGAAAACACACTGGTGCTTTCCATTAGGGTACAGGACATAGGCCTTGGCTGTTGAGCTCACCATGGTGACATCATGTGACATGCACAGGGACAAGTGCGACTTTGGAAAAAAGCAGAACTAAGTTCAGGAAATCTGATGGAATCATAGCAGAGGACACTTGAGCTAGAGTGTCCTTTATATTTTGGAAAATGCTCTGCTTTCTCTTTAGCCAAGAAAAGGAGATTGTGCAGAGAAGTTGCAAGTAGTTTACATCTCTTTGCCCTGTATATTCCTACTTAGGAAATCACAATGTTGGAGAATCAGAAATTGGAAATGCTGATTAAGCTATCAATATGTCTCTCTGTGATTAATAGCTGTACTGAGCAAATTAACATAATAACCTTTTGTTGCTCAGAAAAGTTGCTTCTTTGACTTGAGTTGACAGAGTTTAAAAGCGTGAATCCCTCACTGACTTTGGGATTTCTACCACAGGGAATGGAAATATTTAGCAAGGATAGGGGAAGCCCAGGAGAGTGTGGACAAGGAAGCTTGATTATAAAAATATGGGCAATGAACTAATACAAATCTGGAAATTTAATAGATTTTCAAAGTGTTATTTAAAGTTGGGGATAGGATTGCTTATTTTCTGGGTGATTTGCCACATAATTTATTTAGAGCTTTCTTTCAGCAATTTTAGTGGGTATATTGTGCTGTTTTTGCAGAAACAGAAACCCAAGGTTGAGGTTTTTCTTGGAAACTCCAGGAAGAAACTCACAAGCAAAATATCTGATCACGTATTGCATGTCTAACCACTGAGATAAATCTTCCCAAACTTTCTCTTGACTCTTAAACTGCTGCAAAAACCATCCATATGTGTGGAATATGCCTGTTCTTGTGTTTAATGTTGCCATTTCCCATCTATTCAACACTCCACCAGAATATATTTTCCAAGAAGTTTTGTGGATGGCTAAGAGCATGTTCCCCTTTGTTGCTTTGACTATTCTAATGCTTTTAATAATGCTTTTGACAATGTGCATGCTTATGCACTATCTTGTAGACATAAGGCCATATTTCTAGAGGAAAGACTAAAAAAAGCAAAAGGACTTTTTTAGGGGTTGGGGAGTCTCATTTTCCCTCCCATGGGATGCGTATAGGACTGCAGGACAAGACCAATGATAACTTTGAAGATGTTAGTTGTATTTACGGATTCCCTCATGCAGTTTGAAGTAGTTTGCAATGAGGAAGTGCCAGAGTCAGCCAGGACCAGCTTGCGAATACTGATTTGCGTAGCTTTTCCAACTTTAGCTTCAGGAGTGTGACGTGGGGAGCCTAAAATTGTCCATTGTGGGAGAACCGTGGAAATCAGGAAATGGTGTAGTCACAGTGTGTTTGTGTGTGTGTTAATCCAGCAAGCCAATTTATCATCATTTGCTCACATATGAAGGTACTTCAAAAAGTTCATGGGAAAAAAGTTTTATTTTGGTGTTTTTTAAATGCATACTTTTTTCATAATTTATACTATCTGTGAACTTTCTGAAGGCTTGTTGTGTTCTGTTCAATCTCTCATGCCTATTTTTAAATGGTTTATTTATTTGAAAGGCAGAATGACAGCGGGAGGAAGAGTGGCTGTAGGGAGAGGAACAGATATTTTTTCATCTGCTGGTTCACTCCCCAGGGCTGCAAATAGCTGGGACAGGGTGAAGCAAGGAGCCAGGAACTCCATCCAGTTCTTGATGTGGGTAGCAGGGGCCTAAGAACTTGGGCCATCATCTGCTGCCTTCCCAGGCACATTAGCAGGAAGCTGGATGGGAAGTAGAACAGCAGGGACTTAAACTAATCCCCCGATATGGGATGCCGTATAGAGTGTATTTATAATTCCTGTGTTAACATACTTGTTTACTAACTTTATCCTCTAGGTCAGAGGTTGGCTGGCTTTGAGTCAAATCCAGTCTGCATATGGGCCATGAGTAAGAGTGGCTTTACCTCTTTAAGAGTTGTAGGAAATAAACATCATTAGCCACTAGAAGAATACAAATAAAAACACTTGAAATACCGCTGCACACCTACTAGAATAGCCAGAATCAAAAAAAATATAATAACAGCTTTGAGGAAGATGGGGAGAAACTGAAAACCACTGTTGGTGGGAGTACAAAATGGTGCAGCAGTTTTGAGAAACAGTTTGGCCTTTCTTCAAAAAGTTAAACCACGGAGTGACCACATGATCCACAATTCCATTACTAGGTATATATGCAAGAGAAATAGAATGTGTTCATACAAAAAATCGCACATAAAAATGCTCACAGCAGCATTACTGATATTTCCAAGAGTGCAAAGAACTCACCAGCTGACGATGGATGAAATGTGATATGCCCGTATAATGGAACATTCACTGACAATTTAAAGAAATAATATACACTGCAACACGAACGAACTTTGGAAACAGTATGCCATGTGAAGGAAGTCAATCACAAGAGACAGCATATTGTATGATCCCATTTACCTGACACATCCCAGAAAAGGCAAATCCAGACACAAAGTAGACGGGACCTGAGGGAAGGGTGGGCAGGCAGTGACTACTAATGTGCATGGGCTACTTCTCAGGGTGAGGAAAGTGTTTTAAAATTGACTGTGGTGATAGTTGCTCTACTCTGAATATGCTGAACTCAACACTTTAAAAGACTGAAGTATTTGGTGCTTCAATAAAATGTTATATATATATTTTTTTTTTTTTTTTTTTTTTTTTTTTTTTTTAACAGGCAGAGTGGACAGTGAGAGAGAGACAGAGAGAAAGGTCTTCCTTTGCCGTTGGTTCACCCTCCAATGGCCGCCGCGGCCGGCGCGCTGCGGCCGGCGCACCGCGCTGATCCGATGGCAGGAGCCAGGAGCCAGGTGCTTCTCCTGGTCTCCCATGGGGTGCAGGGCCCAAGCACCTGGGCCATCCTCCACTGCACTCCCTGGCCACAGCAGAGAGCTGGCCTGGAAGAGGGGCAACCGGGACAGAATCCGGTGCCCCGACCGGGACTAGAACCCGGTGTGCCGGCGCCGCTAGGCGGAGGATTAGCCTAGTGAGCCGCGGCGCCGGCCCAATGTTATATATTTTTTTAAAAAAAGTGGTTTCTAGACTTTGGGACTTCACAGAGCACTAAGGCATTCCCCAAACACAGTTCAGGAGTCCATCAGAGATCAACCTTCCTGGCTTTTTGTTTTGTAAACAGAAATGTATAATGACCACTTAGCACCAAAACTTCATAAAAAGACATTTTAACTCCTCAGGATTAATCAGGCATAAAGAACAATTCTTTAAGTGGAATAATCATGGCTTCATTAAAACGTCTTAATTTTCAGTAATTAAAGATACAATTTATCATATTCAAAAACCTTTTTTTTAATTTTTGACAGGCAGAGAGGACAGTGAGAGAGAGAGAGTGAGAAAGGTCTTCCTTTTCCGTTGGTTCACCCGCAATGGCCACTGCGGCTGGCGCGCTGCGGCCGGCACATCGCGATGATCCGAAGCCAGGAGCCAGGTGCTTCTCCTGGTTTCCCATAGGGTGCAGGGCCCAAATACTTGGGCCATCCTCCACTGCAGTCCCTGCCCACAGCAGAGAGCTGGCCTGGAAGAGGGGCAACCGGGACAGAATCCGGCACCCTGGTGTGCCGGCGCTGCTAGGCGGAGGATTAGCCTATTGAGCCATGACGCCGGCCCAAAAACCATTTTTAAAAAGATTTTTATTTATTTGAAAGACAGAGTTAGAGAGAGAGGTAGAGACAGAGAGGTCTTCCATCTGATGGTTCACTCCCCAGATGGCCGCAACGGCCGGAGCTACACTGATGCGAAACCAGGAGCCAGGAGTCTCCTCTGGGTCTCCCACATGGGTGCAGAGGCCCAAGGATTCAGGCCATCCTCCTCTGCTTTCCCAGGCCATAACAGCGAGCTGGATTGAAAGAGGAGCAGCCAGGACTCGAACCGGTGCCCATATGGGATGCTGGCACTTCAGGCCAGGGCTTTAACTCGCTGTGCCACAGCACCAACCCCTCAAAAACCATTTTCAAAAACCATTCTGGTTACTATTTTTATAAAGCATTTATATGGAGACGAAGTTGACATAAAAGGCAGAGCATGAGAGAGAGAGAGAGAGAGAGAGACTGACTGACTGACTTCTACCTGCTGGTATACTCCCAAATGCCCACCACAGATGTGGCTCACTCAGATCAGACCCAGGAGTCAGGAACTCAATTTGGGTCTCTATGTGATGGCAGAGACCCAGCCACTTGAGCTATACCTGCTGCCTGTCAAGGTGTGCATCAGTAGGAAGCTGGAAGCAGGAGTAGAGCTGGGACTCAAATCCAGGCAATCTGATATTGGGTATGGGCAGCCCAAGTATGCTTTAACTGCTCTGTCAAAAACCAGTCTGAAGAATTTTTTTTTAAATTTTCAATTTCACAGGCACATACTTAGGTTTTTAATTTTTGTACGTATTTTAATAATTGATTTATTAATAATGTACACACAGAAGTTTAATTGATAAAAAACTTTATTCAAAACTTGTAGAGAACCATGTAGTTCAAAACTGCAAAAATAAAAGACAATCTGGTAACTTAAAAATAAAGACTATCTAGAGCAACCACACCAACACCTACTATTTATAAAACAATCTCAAATTCATAGCTAATCCTTGTATTTCTGTGTTTTGCAACATGTGAGCTAGAATCCTCCTCCTTACACAACTACAATGTTACATAACTGTTTAACATCTGAAATACAATTTGGGTATTTTCTCATAAGCAAGTATACTATTGACCACTTCCTATACACCAAAGTAGAAATAGTTCAATGACTAGAAATTGATTTTCACTATAAAAAGCGTGACTAAAAGATTTCTTTTAAAAACCATGGGTGGATTAGTATTCCAAACTGGGCTACATAGGAACTTACTTCTACTCAGACTCCTCTGATTATCCATTGTCAATTTATATAATACAGGATATTTGCAAGATGGTTTTCGCCATTGATTAGTCTGGACTCACAACATCCAGGTACTGTGAAAGAGCAGAATTAACCTCAGTTTACACAAAGAGAACCAAGGCACATGGCGAGAACTTGCCAGGGCCAGAGACCTCATTAGATATAAAAATGTAGGAAGAGCCAGTTTTTTTTTGTTTTGTTTTTGTTTTTGTTTTTGGTGGGGAAGGGAGAGACATTAATTGGTTTAATGATAGGGGTAAAAGTGTGAGGGATTTGTTGTGGCAGAATTAATTCTGGATCCATAAGTGAAAAGTTCAGAACATAAATAATGTAGATTCCAGTGTGAAAAGGGTTAGTAGAATAAAAGTTAAAACCTGAGTAAAGAGTCATTTTAGACACAGATCACCTTGCAGAAAACAAAACAGCGAAACAAGGATAGGAAAAAACGTAACAGCGATAGTTTCCCATTTTTGAGCTGAGGGACTTTTAGAAAATCTCTTTAAAAGAGTGATTTTTCTTGAAAACAATCCTTAAATATCTCTTGCCAGCCCCCCATCCCCACCCCCATAACCTGTGAGATTGAGAGCATTAACTTACAGGGATAAAACTGAGACGCAAAGAAGCTGAGAGGTTACGACCACATGCAGAATGAATAGCATGGAGCAGATGTTATGTCTTAAAGTACTGACTTAAAAATAGAAACAGAAGGAAGAGGATAAACAGGAACTTTTATGGATGGACAAGTGGAATAATCCAGGGATCCAGTAGCAACACCAATTATTTATTTATTTTTTTTGTTACAAAGGACTTGGAATTTTAATTATACAGTGAAACCTAAGATGACACTCATCTGGGTAATGAAATGCTCATTTGAAGGGAATATATGCAATACAATCTCCTAAGACCCCATGAGGAAAAATGGACATAAATGAGCCATGGTGTAGGCAAATGTAAACTGATGCACTTACAACACATAGCTGTTGTCTTAAGTTAAAATAGAATGGACACTGAGCCATCAATAAGACTTGAGAGAGGAATTTAAGGCAGCTTGATCAATATTCTAAGGTGAATTTTTAGATAGTATTGGTCATTATTGGAAATGGTATTGAAGAGAAAAACAATGGTGCCCATCCATGTGGAAAATCATGTGCCACTCTGGGCTTTATAGAGATCCACTGTGAGTTATTAAGGGGAATTAACCTCTGGAGGGACACATAAAGCATCTCTTCATGGCTGTCAGACACAACTATAGTAGGGCAGGTCAGAGTTCTAAGCCAGTGTAGCAAATCTGATGTTCTGGATTCAAAGGGAGGCTTTCCCTAAGGTATCCTCTAATCGACTTTCACAGTTAAATCCCAAGCTATGGTAATAAATACAACCAGTTTAGGTCAGGATACCAAAGATCCTGCTGGGCCAAAGAGGACCTGATTATAGAAACTTTAAGTGCTAGTGCTGGAAAAAAGAAAAATAAAAAGCAGAAGGCGGCAACTCTGGTCTGCCACATTTAATGCATTAAAAGATTGAGTATTTTATGAATCTTGATATGAAAGGGATGGGAGAGGCAGCGGGAGATGGGAGGGTTGCGGGTGGGAGGGAGGTTATGGGGGTAAAAAGCAGCTATAATCTAAAAGTTGTACTTTGGAAATTTATATTTCTTAAATAAAAGTTAAAAAAAAGAAAAAAGATTGAATATCTTAGACAGCTGTGTTTATATCTACTGAAGATTATTTGGGATGGCAACTATAACAATAATTTTAAATCTGAGAGTCTATTTCCTTGGGTCCAACTATATATTTGTTCTGTGTAAGTCATGTGCTAATGGCAACTGTAAGCAACACAGCTGTAGAATGGGAGCACTTCAGAGGACAGGATCCTATTCATTTTCAACTCATGGGGATGTTGCTCTTTGCTATATACCTTCGTGGCAATAATGTTCACAACATACGTTTTTCTTAAACATATGCATTTAAATCCAAACCTCACAGCTACAGAATAAAGCATGTAGTGGTACTTGTGGATGAATGGAGGTTTGTCATTTGATATACATCATAGCCTTAGCCCCTGCAGAACTGACTGGAGCACACTGGCGGATGAGTCAGGACTTCCTCATAGCCAAGAAGAATGGAAAATGTTTTTGTCATTGGTAGTTTCATTTATCCCAGGATTTAGATATAATTTTTATGGCATTGTCCCAATTGATGATATATAATAAAAAGCTGTATAGTGTCTCTTGAATTTTTGGCATTCTTTACTCTACTTAGCTTCAAATTTTTACAAACTACAACTTGAATAGAGGAGATAACTGATGCAATAATGGAAATAGACTAGGAATAAAAATATTTTAAGTACTTAGGCTGGCAACATAAATATGGCCTGTCTTTTCCTGCCTCTAATGTTTTTGCAGAGATAATGTTAAAGTAGATATTATAAAATGTGCTTGCATTAGTGAGATGCTTACAGGTATGGTGTTTCTTATATATGTGAACAGCTTTTTTTTTTTGAGTAGCAAATTTTAAGTTGATGCATGTCTCACACAAACATATGCACATACAGAAATACAGAAAAAGCTGTCACTAAGGATAAATGCCAGTTCCACTCTATTCAGCAGATTGTTGACTTCACAATAGTAAGTAGCTCTACCCGACCCTACTGTGTGGATAGAGTGAAAACTGAGAAGTCCTTAACAAGATTTTACATTTGATATAGTTTATCTACATTATTTTGGCATACGTTAATCAGCCTTAATACAAACTCTGGGGATGTTTGGTTGACATCTGACGTATCCTAATCAGGAATATACCTTTCAGAAACAGTTAGCATTACATCGGTCACCTCACAGGCTATTACCAGAGATTGTTAAAGAATGAGTATTTTCAATGGTTAATTTACTGTCTTTAAAGATCTGTGAATTAGCTCAGCCCTTCCAAGAACAGGTGTAAGAATCCAGGATGCCCAACAGACCTAGGATTTCTAACTCATTCTCTACATACATCAGATCATCACCTGAATGGATCTGCTGGAATATAGCAAGACTCACTTCTAATCACTCTTGTAGGTAGTATACTGTTGGGTTGCCTAAAAGGGAGGAGTTGGGATTTTTTCAAGCTTACAGGACAGGTTGGATGACTGTTCTGACGCCTGATTGCTCATAAACATGTATGAAGCAGTACTTGTTCTAAAATCTGAATTCAGTGTCAATTACCCCCTGGTTAGGTTCTACCCACTGAAGGCTACAAAACCACCTAACAGTGAATACCCAAATTGGCTTATGTCAGCTTATACTTTTCTTTAGGGAGGAAACCCAAATACATGGAGGCACAATACTAATTTAGTCATAGTCTATAGAATATGCTTACAAATATTAATGCCTAGTATGATAGGGCTGAAAATCCCCGGCTGGTCCTTCTATGAAGTCTGTACACTACTCAAGAATAAAGTAAGAGTCTAGGTCCTTCCTTGTCAGTCAGGCACAGGAAAAGAGAAACACAGAGCCAAGCCACAGTGGGAGACTCTAATATTTCTGTCTCATACTCTTTATTCTGGCTTGCTACCAAAGATAGCCCTCTTTCCAGTTGTCCACTATGGACATAAAATTGTTACCACGCCTAGAAGTTCAATAATGGTGAAACAAATGAAAAAATGAGTATATTAAAGAACCAACTTGAGGACGGAATCTAAGGCAAAGCCCACTAAAGTCGAATCAACTGGGATGGAGTGTTTTAATTATTTAGTTGCTGTTCTGAAACTATGATTAACATAATGATTAATAGTAGAGTTTTCTGAACATGTGGAGGTCAAAAACTAAGTTACAAAATGAGCACATGTACTTGTTTCCATATTAATAAATATTTCATAAGGTTTTCTTGAATGGATCCTCTCTGTGTAAAACAAAATAAAACAAAAAATCATTAGGACCACTCCCTAAAAGCAAATTAGAAAGAAATACCAGCTAAATGGTGATGAGTATGACATATGATTGTACTGCATCAGAGCACAAGCCTGTCTGGCCCCACAGGACCTCCTGGAAGGAGGATCCAACAACAGTCAGGTTGATATTCTGGGAGATGAGTCGACAGTAGTGATCTGTAACACAAAAGCAACTACTGGTCATAGCAACATGTATTTCCAATTCAGGTATCAAACCTTCTACAGGACAAATGTTTGTTGCAATAAGGTATCCTCACAGGCACTTGGTTATACATAAATTAGGTCAAACAAAATCTTCATGCTGCACTTAGTTCTCCATGGGGATACTACAGTACTTAAATGCTGGTAAGGGCACTGGAAGCTTAGGTTCAATTGCAACAATAACAGAGTCATAGGCATTTGTCAGTTTGAAGAGAATTTACACTTTCCTATTCATTATTATCTTGTTTTAACTCTCACCACAAGAGGTTGGCAGGGAAGGTATTATCATCTCTGCTTTACAGATGGGAGCAACTGACACCCCATGCTGGTACCCCACACATATAAAGAGACTTGCCTACTTTTCCATGACTAGAAAGAACCTGTTCTTTTGATTCTTGGAATAATGGTCTATCCTGCACACTCTAGGGAATCAAAGCACTTAAGGAAGTCTCTGTGGTATCTAGCAAACAGCACCAGAAATCAGCAAAGTTCAGGGAAAGGCTGAACAATGAAAAATAAAACAGTGAAATTTTGACTTCTATGAAAGAGGACTTCGGAAATCATTCACAAAAGAAAGACATTTTCCTATCCCTATAAGTAAACAAGGCCATAGAAAATTAGTAAGGAAGTTGGCTCACTGAGTGCATGTTTATCACTTATTACGTACATGTTATGGGGATCCCTAGCACAGGTATATTATATGTTTTAAAGAGCATAGAATTCTTCAAACTTGGAAAACATAAGAATGCTAGGCATAGGAAGACATCTCAAAGAAAGGCACTATATCACTGCCATTTAAGCTTTTATCCCATCACATATGTCATGCCAATACATGGTGGTGCAGATGCTTTATTTTAGTGTGGTGTGCAAAGAACTTGGTGATCTGCTACTGCAGCAACACAGCACATTCCTGGAGCCTGGGGTGCTTAAAAACAGGCAATAAAGGCAGTGTTTAAGGTGAGCACACACAACTCCCTTAAAATGCAAAGCCACAACCATAAGTTGAGAAGTATCTGGAAATCCATTTCTGTTTCAATGTGTTTTATTTAATTAGTTATGGGAAAAGTACCTAACACTGTGGACTACATCCCTAAGTCTTACTCACTGACCTTTATAAATCTAACTCCCAAATTTAAATAGCATCGCCAAGTAGTCTAGGCTCCAAATTTAGAGATCAACAGGCTAATTTAGGATGGCATTTTTGGTTGAGGGGGCTGGTTGATTAAACCTCTTTTAAAGCTTCTTTCTATTTAGCTCAGTTTTTTTTTAGAGAACAGCCAGGAGGCACCAGGCTAAACTATTAGAGAGCTTACATGAGCATGTGAAAGACCAACAGCCATAACATCCACCAGTTTAAGGAAATATCATAGCTGACAACAGCTGACAGGTAAAGAAGATACTGAACTGACTGCAAGAGAGGTGTCTATATCCTGAATTTTTTCCCCAATAACTACATGGAGAATGTTAAAAAGTAGATAGTGGGAGGTCTCTGTGGTGAGGCCAAAGGGCTCCTGAAACCCACTGCTTCCAAATCCTTTTCTCTGGTGCTAATGAAGACATCTGTATTCCCCCTGGCTTCACAGTGTAGTGCTTTTGTGTAGCTAATTTAATAACTGGCTTCCCAGCAGAATCCTAGAGAAACCATCCCCAACGTGTAAGACATTTCTAAAGCTTTCTAATATGGTGTTGCACTGCCATATTGCCTCTAGTCTATAACATCCAGGATTGATGAAAGACTTCCTTGTTAAAGAGAGCTCTGACCATAATCATCTTCCTGCTGGAAACAAATGCCAGAATTCCTCTACCTTCTGTTATACTAACTCAGTGATGATATTTCCCAAAATAAACTTGAATATCTTCTTTGATACAAAGGGCAGTACACTCAACTCTGAGGTAGCATAATGATTCAGCAATTAGGGTCATATGCAGCTATACTCTTTTAAATTGCTAATTATCTAGTGAAAGCACTGAGTTGAAATTTAAGCATCCTTTCTTCCAGAATTGTTGGCCATTCAGGTAATGGGGGCGGGGGGACCAGCATATTACTACTATAGAATAACCTGGATAACTTGTCTGAAAAGTGAAAAGGAAACAACCATACAAAGAAGAACTACAGCCAGCACATGAATCACGAAGCATCTTTGGTATCTCACTGGATATCTACGTTAATATTTCCCTCTCCACTTAAGGTTTAGGTTGGAAATGTATACTATTTAATCTGGTTTAGTGCTTATACTATTTCTTCGTATATGACACGTTTGTAGTGTTTTTCATACTGGTGACACATCTCAGACCTTCCAGAACACACAGTAAAACAACACTTTCCTTAAGAAGACGAGAGGAGAGTGATGGATGTTTGCACCTGTACCTGTGATCCGTCCATCTCAGCTCACCCTATTGTAACTACTACTGTCAATCTTGCTGATGGAAAGTTGGCAAAAGGAGATGAGAAACTCCAAGCAGACATTTGCAAGCACTCAAGTGTTGCAGGATACCTGGTCTATAAGTCACTGTATTTGCTTTTTAGCATGTCATTACTCTCCTTATAGCAGAGGACGAGGTGTAAAGGACATGTGGGTTTAGCACACATACCATATGGGAGTAACTTTTTTCAGACAAAAGTTTTCCAAATTTCCATTTTAAGTGCAGGAGTTACTTCACGGTGATTTTTCCAGCAGGCTTTTCAGAGGTAGATTAAACATGGACAATAAATACTCTGAAGAACGCAGAAGGGTAGCTAAAGTTTTAAAAGACATTTCAGAAGTGAAAGCTGAGCTTGTCATGTACCACATTAGAGAAAAGAAGGGCAAAGCTAAAGGATATATACCAGTTAGAAAGGGCTTGAGTATTTAATACGTGGTAAATAGGCTAATCTGGCTAGTACAGAAATGGACTGTGAGAACAACAACGCAGCAAAAGAACCTTTGTCACTTGCAGCTGGCCAACTGCAGGCACATAACAGCAAGAAATATGCAACCCTCAGGACCTCAGTGACCCACAGGAACATACATTACAACACCACAAAGGTTTAAAGTCAACTAACAGGCTTCAGGTTTAAATTGCCTTTTGTTGTCGTTGTTTTAGAAAAAGGGTAAAATTCGCCTCTTTTCTTAGGCTTCTGCTTGTACACAGGTATTGTAATTGTGCTAAGCATGTCAGGATAATCCAAATCCCCGCTAATTAATTAGTGAAATGGATTCTGAACTCATTTTTCTGCCTGTTTGCATTCCAGATGAACAGGCTGGGCTACCCAAGACCCACTGAGGTTAATACTACAGCTGGGGCCTTTTTTTTTCCAGAGAATCATTGCAGTCATTACAGACAGATGCTGTACTTTTAAATGAACATGGCATTGTAGGCCAAATGTTAGTAGTTAAACACCATCGTCACTGAAACACACAAAGCTATAGTCAAGTTCACAAACACAGCTGGTGGTTGAAAAATCCTTAACAAAGGAAAGAAATTCACTACAGGCTCCAAGTTATTCATCAGGACTCCTGGTACCCTTAGACTGAGATTGTTTTATATGAGAGAAAATAAAATAATCAGTTTCTCTCCCCAATCTAAGAATAAACATTTGTTAGAACATCTACTGGAAAAAGGCAAATCACACATAATGTTCTCGTGGATTGATGTAGACTCTCTCAAGGTCATTGTTTTGATGATGTTTGCCAGGGCTCCGGTCTTGATAGCACATCTGATTGTATAGGGGGTACACCTGCTGAATCCCTTCTTCTCCCACTGGAATCTCATCTTCATAGTCACGTCTCTGGGCATTTAGTCCATTCTGAAAATCCAAGCATTGCGTACATTAGCAGAGCAGCTGTTTGCATTTTCTAGCACTTTGGTCAAAGCAGGCAAGAATAGAATTTATTACAGTGTCCTAGATTCATTACCCCAAAAGCTATTGAATGGCAAGTTAAAGTTCAATAATTTATCATTTTCCAGTCATTTGTTGCTTGCAGTACCTGAATAAAAATGGTGCAGCTTCTAAATACAAAATTGTGACTAATAGGGACTGTGATCAGTTTTAGGTCTTGAAATCGGGATGTGGTGTCAGTTAAAGCAAACCAGAGAACAAGGTGGTGACATCAGGAGTCTCTCAAGACAGGCTCAAGCTTGGAGTGAATATGTGAGAAAGGCAGGGAATTAATTCAAATAAAACAAAAGAAACCTCAAGATTCAACACTGGGGCATTAAAGAAAGGACACAGCAAAATGAACAGGCATTTGACCACATGCTTGAGAAAACAGAATAAGAAATGCTGCCACAAATATACACATCGCCATCTTTCCTTCTGGCTTGACCTTGGGCTGACATTTACTGTAAAATGAATCCCCCTTGATGCTCTGTGGGGTCTCTTGTACAGAACTCTCTGCCTGGTTAGTGAATTTATAAAACTTGATTACTTCTAAGACACTTAGAAGTAACTAAGAGTAAGCAAGCTCAAGGACTTCACCAAATCATAGTAGAGACAACTGCACAGGGGAGGGAATAAAATGAACTTTTATGGAAACTAGATATTTTGACAAGCACGTTAGCCACCTGCTGATGCAACATCACAGTGTCACTTACAGAGGGCTGAAGACTGCCAACGTCCCTTTCTTTGAACTCAGTCTGCAAAGGCAAGTGTTCAGTCTGGAAGAAGACAAAAGATATGCACTTCAAAACAGGCACATGTCCAACATATCTATCAACACCAATAAGAATCTTGCAATGAAAAGAGCCAATCATGTCTTGTTAAAAGTCTATAATCAAGCAAAATTTTCACAAAAGGATGGAAAAACCAACCACATTTCTTCCGCCTCTTATATTCAGTGTGGTTCCAGGGTGTTTTCCACATGAACAGCTACTAGCAGTTCACCCTGGTAAAAGTCCAAGGCAGTGCCAGCGTCACGGATAATACCCTGCAACTGCCATTTTACATTTCTTAGTGTGAATTTGTAGTTTGGAAGAGCTCTAATGGGAAAGAGCAGCATGCTTCCGGGACTTGCAGCCCCTGCTTATGGGTGGCCTGCCTCCAGTGGCCTGGCTTCCATTGGTTTTTGGCTGCTCCTCCCCCATCCCAGTTTACCAGGCATCAGCTGGCCCCACTGCCTGCCCTTCATCCAGCAACTGCTGTTGCCCTTTGCCCTGGCAGGGGCCTGAGCACTGGCTCAATGAAAGTTGGCATAGAAGTGAATGCCCTGAAAGCATCATGCCACATCTGACACATGACCGGAGGTGACTTCTTAGTAAGGATAAGCCTCTTATCTACTCCAGTTTAGGTGCCTAATATTGCCATCCTGACATTCTTAATTTTTGAACAAAGGGCTCTGCATTTTTCATTTGCACTGGGCCTCACAAATTATATAACTGGTCCTGGTCCAAGGAAAGTAGACTTGGAAAATTAACATTTTTTGATTCTTCACTGTATTAGATTATCCTTATTGCTGTTCCCGTCTATTTTAATGTCAGTGACTAAGACATGATTCTACATAACTCACAGCTGAATCTGCTTTGATAAGGGGCATGGCAGTTAGAAGCTGCTCCTTAGTGAGGGTGGGTGCACATTTTCTAAGCAGCTAGAGTCCACCCATTCTTTTTGAGGAAGTATCTAGACATCTTTAAAAAGGATCTCTTATTTACAAACTTGTTCTTCCCACTTCAACTATCTTCTGTACTATGATAATAAACCATAAACATACTTGTGTTGATTTTTAGAAGAAAGAGTCCATAAAAGTCACAACCCACTACCTTTCTTATCAGCATTAAGGAACCACTGATAGAGACACGCCACAGACACACCACTGTTTTCTTCTGTAGCCCCACGTGTCTCATCATGACTTAATTTCTAAGTCTGACACTTCTGTAGGAGGGAAAAGCAAGTGAAATATGTCCCTAGCAAACTCAGCTTCCAATAAGGAATATATGCGTTCTACCAAATGGAGGGGAATCAAAGATTTCTGCTGATTATTTTTATTCCTTACTTAATAGTCTAATCATGTGGAAAAGTGCAAAGAGATTGGAAAAGAAATATTGAACATGACACCTTCTGATGGCAAAAATAAAAGGGGTTCATGAATACAGCCCATGTCCATTCCTCCCCATTGGTGGCTAAGTATGGAAGCAGGAGAATGGTCAACACTTAAAGATTAAAAGCACATAAAGCACATTCTAAGGGTCGGCGATGTGGTACAGCATGTTAATGCCGCAGCCTGCAGCGCTGGCATCCCATAAAAGCACAGGTTCGAGTCCCGGCTGCTTCACTTCCAATCTAGCTCTGCTATGGCCTGGGAAAGCAGCAGAAGATGGCCCATGTCCTTGGGCACCTGCACCCATCTGGAAGACCTAGAGGAAACTCCTAGCTCCTGGCTTCGTATTGGCACAGCTCTGGCCATTGCATCTATCTAGGGAGTGAACCAGTGGATGGAAGACCTCTTTCTCTCTGGCTCAACCTCTCTCTGTAACTCTCTCTTTCAAATAAATAAAATAAATCTTTTTTTTTTTTATTTTTAAAAAGCACATTCTAGGAACACAGTGATTACAGCCTGAAGAGTTCAACAAGAGAGGTAGTTAGAACACACGTTGTTCTGTGTTTATGTTTATGCTATAAAATTCCAAATGATAAATTTAACATGACAGAGGAGAAATGATCAATAATGCCTTTATGAACACACTGGGTAAGAAATGCATTTGTTTGGAGCTGGCGCTGTGGCACAGGGGTTAAAGCCATGGCCTGTAGTGCTGGCATCTCATATGGGCACTGGTTCATATCCCCACTGCTCTGCTTCCAATCCAGCTCTCTGCTATGGCCTGGGAAAGCAGTAGAGGATTGCCCAAGTACTTGGGTCTCTGCAACTGTGTGGGAGACCTGGAAGAGGCTCCTGGCTCCTGGCTTCAGATCAGCTCTGCTCCAGCCATTGCGGCCAATTAGGGAGTGAACCAGCAGATGGAAGCACCTATCTCTCTCTCTCTCTCTCTCTCTCTCTCTCTGCATAACTCTGACTTTCAAATAAACAAACAGATCTTTAAAAAAAAAAAAAGGGAAAAAAAACAAATGTATTTGTTCATCATCAACAAAACATGGTAACACTCACTATATACCTCACATGAGCCATGGATTTTATAATGTCATATCTATTCAAATTGTTTATATAGACAGGAACTCCACACAGACTAGGGAAGGCTCTACTTTAGAGACCAGGGACTAGGGATAGTTGTGTAACTATTTCTGCATTGCAATAGCCACTCAATCTCTGACAAGATTTTGTATCCTTGGCTCAACATGTAAGAAGCTAAATCTAATGTTAATGTGTATCTGCTTTCATGTCAATCCATAAAACATCTGCAATGCTGAGTATACTGACTTTCTGATCCACCATGGAAGCATCATGCAAAATAGTCTCACTGCCTTAAAAATCTCCTATGATCCACTGATTCATCTGTTCCCACCCACTCACAGTCTCAGGCAACCATTCATCTTTTTATTGTTTCTATAATTTCACTTTTTCCAGAATGTACATAGATGGAATCCTTCAGTATGTAGCTTTTTCAGATAAACTATTTTTAAAAAAGATTTATTTTATTTATTTGAAAGGCAGAGTGACAGAGATTGGGAGGTAGAAAGATTTTCTATCTGCTATTTCACTCCCCAAATTTGCACAGCAGCAGGGTCGAGGCCAGGTAAGTCAGGTGCATGGAACCCCATCTGGGTCTCCCAAGTGGGTGGCAGGGGCCCAAGAACTCGGACCATCTTCTGATGCTTTCCCAAGCACATTAACAAGGAGCTGGACTGAAGCAGAGCAGCCAGGACTCAAACTGGTGCTCTGACATGGTATGCTGGTGTTGCAAGCAGCGGTATAACCTGCTACAACACAGTGCTGGACCCCAGACTAGATTTTCCCTCAATAATAGGTACTTTATGCCTTGATGATTCATTTCTTTTTGGTACTAAATACTACTCCATTGTCTGAATGAACCAGTTTATTTATCCATTCACCTAATGAAGAACATCTTGGTTGCTTCTATAGCAATTCCATTAGCAATTATGAATATAGCTGCTATAAAAATCATCGTGCAGGTTTTTTGTGAACACGTGCTTTCATTTCATTTGGGTAAATATCAAGGAAAGAGGTTGCTGGATTGTACAGTTTGCTCAGGAACTGCCAAACTGCATTCTAAAGTGGCTAGACCATTTTGTACTCTCATCTGTAATGAATGAGAGTTCCAGCTGCTCCCCATCCTCATCAGCGTTTGGGGCTGGAAAAAATTCACAGCCACAGTATATGAAAAGTACATTACATAATACTTTACATATGTTTTATTGTGAATATATATGTGCTGAATAAAAATATATAACTTTAACTGATGGATATATAACATACACTATTCTCTTACTATTGTGTCTTTTCCTAGAAAGCCTCAGGCTGCTCTGAATCTGTAATGCATATTTTGGTTTCCCTACTTTGATGTACTGTATCACAGTAACTTCTGTTGAGCTGCCATCCATACTCACTTTGCTGATTTGCGAATGTCATACAGACTTTCTTTTTTTTTCTTTTTTTTAAAATTTATTTAATGAGCATAAATTTCCAAAGTACAGCTTATGGACCACAATAGCCTCCCCCCGCCCCGCCGTGTCTTCCCTCCCATCCACAATGCTCCCCTCTCCCACTCCCTCTCCCCTTCCCCTTCACATCACAATTAATTTTTAATTATCTTTATATACAGAAGATCAATTTAGCATATGTTAAGTAAAGATTACCACATTTTGCTCCCACACAGAAACATAAAGTGTAAAATACTTTTTGAGTACTAGTTATAGCATTAATTAAACACCTAAGAGTAATTGTGTATTAATTACAGCGCTCAACCAATAGTTTTAAGTAGAATATAAAATGCATCTTTTGCATTGTTGTGGCTTCCCCCCGACCTCCCTCCCTCTCGTGGCCCTCCCCTCACCCACTTCCTCTCCCCTCTCCCCCCCTTCATCACGTTTCATTTTCGGTTACCTTCATATACCGAAGATCAATTTAGTATATACTAAGCAGGGATTTCAACAGGTTGCACTCACACAACCGAACCAGGTATAGGGTATTGTTCGACTAGTAGTGTTGTTTTTAGTTTCATAGATAAACATATTAAGGACAGAGATCCTGTGAGGGGAGCATGAACCCAGTGACTCCCGTTGTTGATTTAACAATTGGCACTCTTATTTATGTCATACAGACTTTCATTCCTGGCTTCCAATGTGTCAAAACCACTATCTTCTTATCTTAGTAAACATTTTGCCTTCTCTGCCCTAACAAACTAGAACTTCCTCCCTTTAGCATGCATTTTGTTCTGTTTCCATACAAATAATATTTTGGCCGGCGCTGTGGCTCACTTGGTTAATCCTCGGCCTGTAGCACCGTTATCCCATATGGGTGCTAGGTTCTAGTCCCAGTTGCTCCTCTTCCAGTCCAACTCTCTGCTGTGGCCCAGGAAGGCAGTGGAGGATGGCCCAAGTCCTTGGGCCCTGCACCCCATGGGAGACCAGGAGGAAGCACCTGGCTCCTAGCTTTGGATCAGTGCAGCATCGGCCTTAGCGGCCATTTGGGGGGTGAACCAACGGAAAGGAAGACCTTTCTCTCTGTCAATAACTCTACCTGTCAAAT